CAGATGTTGGATCGGCGGAGTCGACCTCCTTCTGCACTTCGGGTCGGCCGAACATGCTGAGCATGTTCGGCCGACACGAAGCCAGCTGAAGCAAGCCGATGTACAGCTGATTTCAGCTGATATACGTCTGAAATCAGCTGTACAAGCCTGAAGTGAATAGCTGAACAGTGTTCGGCTCACTTCACTTTGGGTCAGTTACTCACACAACTGCCTTCGGAAGCTTTGTGAATAACCCTGTAATTAATCAACACACTTTTAATATTGTAAGTGAACTACAACATAGCTTTGGCAGAGATATTATATATCCTAGATTATCATATATTTGTACACATTAAAATGATATAGTTATTGCTGCTGGATGTCCTCCTATTCTACAGGGCTGCTGAATATGTGGGTGCCATACACAGCAATAATATTAGTAATGCACTGATAGTAAAAGGAAGATAGAAAAGCTTGTAAGCTTAGAATAAACATATAATAATAGTGCTGCAATTATATAAAGTTAGTTGCAGTTTTTCTTGGGATGAAGTCCTCGTAGATTCTATTTGTTTTATTTTACCTTTTTTCTTCACTAAAAGTAACATTCTCTGACATAAATATCCAGTCTATCAGTAATAAATAAGAGCATCTTGTGTTCTCTGTCACATCCTTTACTGGAGTCAGAATCCTCTGTATCTGTCAGCTATGAGATGTCTGGAAGAAGAGATAAAATTAATTCAAACCTATCAGAGATATTGGCACATTCCTTTCAATATGCTGAAACACTTGTTTCTTTTGGCTTTGTGTGTGACACCCTGCAAATGTGACACTCAGAACTCTGCTCACCGATGTGATCTTACAATGAAGAATTATACATTTGAGTACAAATATTCCCAAAAAGGAGACGTCATCATAGGAGGAATATTTGCTGTTCATTCTGGAGTGTCATGGTGGCACTATGTTGGAAGCCAATTCTTAGATTTCATGTGTTCAGCGTAGGTCAAATATAAAGTACGGATCTTAACATAATATCTATAAGGCTTGTTGTGTCATTGGAGAGGATTTAGAGTACTCAGACCATCTTGACACGTTAGATTTCAATAAATACACACAGTTAGAGTAAGTCATATCTAAACCCAAAAGCAAAATGTCATATATTGTAGCTTAACAGTCCTCAGATGTGGTGGCTGCATTCAGTTTTTTAGGCTTGTTTCCTTTATTTTCACCTGGTGGTCCGGCCAGTAATATTGTTATTTTCAACTTCCTTTAACAGGCCAAACTGTGCAGCAAAAGTAGCAAATAAAGGTTTGAGACAAACCATTTAACACTAACAGGAGTGCTTATAATAGCCGGATTTTATTCATTTATGAAAACAATCTTTATCCGAAAAGGAAAAAAAAAACATATTTTGTTGTAACTGTTAGCTGGAGTTTGGACTTAAAGTGACATTAAAGGATTTGTTTTCCCTCCCCCAATGTTAGTGTAGAGACTTACCTTAAATGATGCCTCTTATTCCGATCTTCTTCCTCCTCCTGTCATTTTGTGCAGCTCCTCCAGCACTGCTGCGGGTCTCCGATCCAGCGCTGACTCCTCTGTCCTCCTCTTCTCTCATGTCCCACGGAGTCTGTGCAGGTGCATGCTGATCCATATACTTACCTTGTGCCTCTTCTCGTCTCCCAGCCGAACATCTGACCTGCGCATGCGCCTGCCCCAACATCCTTTGCGGCTGCCCAAGAAATTTTCTGATGTTCGGATGGGAGCGCATGGCGAAGACACAGGTATGTTTAAACCTCTTTTAAAATATATTTTTTTAAAGTGTTTGCATAAATCTACTGCTTGCTAGCATTAGATATATGCAAAACATTGTGAGAATGTAATAACCCTTTAATTTGTTAGTGAAGTCCATCTAAATCTGCTGCTGCATTTAACACCATCTTCTCCACAGGGTGACATTGCTGCAGTCCAAGTGTGGCTCCATTGCTTCTCTATAGAGTGCAGCCACCCTGAGGCAGGAAGAGTGTTTCTGTCTGAATTAACAGGTGCAAAAAGTTTAAAAAAATGCAGCCACCTCATCTAAAGATTGGTAAGATGCAATGTATAACTTTTTTTGGATTCTAGATACACTTTGACGTACATTTATTTTTTAGTATGTTTGGCATAATCTCTGCAAACATGTCTACCTTTGCTCGTATCCACTAAACCGGTGATTGATATATTAAAAAAGAAATATAACATTGTATTTGCTTTTAGTTCAGATCAAAGGAAGTGACAAGGACATACCACGTCTAGTAAGATCAGCCAATATTTTCTGTAATTGTTAAAAATGATGTTAACAAAAAAAGGAAAATGAATGCAGCCTACCTACTGAAGCAGCTATCTAATGACTGGTAAGCTGCAACAGATTTCCTATCAGTTGAATAGTTGTCTACCCTTCTGATAGACCCGATAAGAAGCTCAATGGCTAACTGAAGGAGAGCACTTGGAAGGCTGACAGCTCTGCTGAGAATTGTGGGGTAGGGGCAGAGTGTTGTCAGCCTTAAACTGGAAGTTCTGTTACTGGCAGGATTTTCAGGTAAGAAACTTTGCAACAAAATTATAATAAGTATTTTACGTATTTTCTTAACAAAACTGAATTTGGTGAGACATGGTGTAAAATACATTTTAGGTTTATATAGACTTTAACGTTGAAGGTTGAGTGTTTATATGAACTAGTCAACAGTATATAGCCAGCTGTAGTGCTGTTGGTTACTACTATATCAATTGTGAATGTTGATAAAAGCCATACATCATTTACTGCCATGGATTGCATATCATTAAAGGTCACAATTACTGATTTCAACAAAATACTTTGCAAATAAATGCCTGTTTCCTCGATAATCCTGGTCTGTGCACAAGCGCAGATGCTTAGTTTGGCAAATTCAACTAGGTTGGCGTTCTCAACAGAATTCTTGCCACCTACAGCTTCCTCCCCCCACCTCATCTGCCGTAGGCTAGGAGGAAGACTGCTGAGCTGCTATTCGCTGGCTGGACATTTTTGCACCGCGGGACCTGAAGGTAGGCTTCACCTCGGTACATGGAGGATACATCTTTGTACTCCTCCCACCACAAGCACCTGGAGAGGAAGAGGGCACCTGAATCAGAGCAGCTATGAGCACTGTATGTCCCTGTTCTTTCTGCCTTACACCGCTAATCTCAGCACTATACGTTACAATACTGACCTCTGTACTGCTGACCTCTGTAGGCCTGTGTAATGAGACGTCTGTACTGCTGACCTCATTGCATTACTGACCTCTTTACTGCTGACCTCTGTACTGTGCATCACACCGTTGACTTCTGTACTGTGCGTCACACAGCTGACCCCTGTACTCTGTACATTTCTGCAGCGGGGGACCTGAAGGGAGGATGAATGAAGCTTCTGGAGGCTTCATCTCGGTACATGGTGGCAACATCGCTGCACCCTCCCACCACCACCAGGAGATGAAGAGAGCACCTGATTCAGATCAACTGTGCACTGTAAGTCCCTGTTCTTTCTGCATTACACCGCTGACCTCTGCACTCCGCGTTACATTACTGACCTCTACACTCTGTGTTACATTACTGACCTCTGTACTGCTGACTTCTGTACTCTCCGACGCACTGCTGGCATCTGTACTCTGCATCTCACCACAGACCTGGTAAGCAGGGCAGAGGTTAGGTGGGACAACAGGTGGCGAGTAACTCTTAAGGCCTGGCTAGACTTAACATTTTAAGCCCAAATATACAGTGTATATATTTATATATATGAAAATATCTCAGGTTCCTTTATTTCTGTTGTGTTTGACAAGAGATACCAGTTTACCTTTTCAGTTGGGCTACCACAGCCTCATCAAGGGTTTTTTACGCTCTTTCTGTTGGATTAAAATCTCACATTGAGGTGTATAGAAGAGTACTGAAAAGTGGAGGAGGCTTATTTCAAAGGGGTAAGGAGAAATAGGAAAACATAAGAAAAGGTGTCAAAAAGGGTCAAGAGATTTAATGTATGCATAATTTTATATAATTCTGTTAAATATTTCAAGAAGGACTCTGGGCAGAATAAACTGTGACCCTTGCAGTGGGCTAACCCCGCTGTTTAATGACAAGCACAAAAAAGTGCTGGTTTTGGCCTAGGGTGTAAAATAACAAAGATATAATTACCTAATCTTTGGTTCCACCTGGCTGCTAAACCTGCCCCTGCAGCCTCCCCTCCCCTCTCTTCTGTAGTTTAAGGACATGTGAGTCATTACATCTACTACAGTGTATAAGATGTGAAGATGCAGAGGGAAATTCCACTGCTGGAGCTGAAGGGGAGATAGGCTGCAACCAGTTTAGCAACCAGGTGGAACCGAGGATCAGGTGAGTATAGCTTTGTTATTTTACACCCTATACCAAAATAAGCACCTAATCTTTGCAGAGCTGGGCCAGACCACTGCAGGGGACAAGTGTTATTCTGCCCGGAGTTCTTCTTTAATGATTTAACAAGAATTATATAAAATTACACATAAATTGAATCTCTTGACTCCTTTCCCATGTTTTCCCATTTCTCCTTATACCTTTTGAAATGTGCCTGTTGTTTTTAATAGCTAAAGCTGAAACATACAAACACAGGGGAGTGTGTCAGAAGAGTGACTCCTCCACTTCTCAGCCCTCTCTCTTCTATACAGCTCAATCTAAGGTTTCAATCAGACAGAGGGAGCCTAATGACAGGCAGCTTCTGCTATGCTCTCTCTTTAGGGAACCGATAATGCTTTGTGAATCCTTTGTTATAGGTGTAATTAACCAGACCTAGATTTATCTTGATGCAGATAGGGGGAATCTTGCCATAAATTGTTCCATAAGATCTAGAATTTAGATCTGGCCTGGCAAAACCAATTTTGATTTTTTTTTTTTTAGAGTTAACCACAGAGAATACAGACATCTCCTGGCTTTTATCTTTGCTATTGATGAGATAAACAGCAGTCCAGATATTCTGCCCAATGTGACTCTGGGATATCATGTGTATGATTCTTGTGGAAATGTGAATAAAGCCACAAAAGATGTTCTGCAGATCTTATCTGGACATTCCAAGACAGTTCCAAATTATTCCTGTATGGTGCGGGGTACAGTGGCTGGTTTCATCGGAGACCTCAAATCAGATACCACTCTCCAAATGGCTCAGCTTTTACATCTATATGGTTACACACAGGTAAGATTTTCAGACATTGAGCAGGGAATGTTTCAAGATTGTAAAATCAAAGCTCACATCTCATTACTGGTAACATATTTAGAGGACTTTTGTTAATTACAGGATCTCTCAGACAACAACACCAGTTAAATACATTAATACATTCTATAAAGTCACTGTCACTCAAATTATGTTTAAAAATGTTATACCCAAAAAGAAGTAAATGAATACCTGTGTTCCTTGTTGCCCATGCCAATGAAACCCATCTATGGTGATGAGTAATCCCCTGCTTTTTTTTCCAAGACAGATACTACTCTGAGTATTGATCTCCTGGATCTCATCACAGAGGTCAGTTGTTCCTCCTGCTGACCTTCACTCATTACAGGATACAGGAGAGACATATTGGTCACAGGAGGAACCACTAAGCACCCGGGAGAGTTAAGAGACTGACAGTCCTGGAAGAAAATTCAGCAGTGGAATTCTCAGCCTTCTAGTGGCTTTCAGTAGAGTGGGCAGCATGGGGGTAAAATATTATTTTCTTTCTTTACAGGTATGGCATTTTTTAAAGACAATACAACTGAGTGTCTTCACTTAATGCTTTAAAAGGAGGCAATTAGAAGAAATGTTGTAGACTTTGCTAGTTAGACTGTATGTACCTGGAGCAACCACCAATGCATTATTAATTTGGCCAAACATGGGCTATTTTAATGGGCAAAGGTGTGACAATTATAGGTCAGAGCTCACCAATAGTTCCCCCACACACGCATTCATATTGACCCATCACCATGATGGGCTCCCTCACTGGCTTATAGTAATGTTTAGGATTTAGGAAGAGGCTGGCAAGATTCAAAGCTAATCGAAAGTGTTGAAGCTTTACCTATCAGAATAATCTAGGATTTGTTTGTTTGCTGATAAATAAAAGTGATCAGGCAAAGGTTAGAAACAACATGTCAGATTATTTTCTGTTTTTCATATCCCATTGGGGAGATTTAATTTCGCTTATTGTCCTGAGGATACAACAAGATGTGAGAGAAACATTCAGCAAACAAAAAATCTACTTCCTGAAAGAAACCTGACAATGTGCATGTTCAGACAAATCTGTTTGTGTACCTGTTGCTGATTTGTCAATACTTCCTGTCTGGTGAAACTGTTGTCAGAAGGACAGGAAGTGAGGATAAATCTCTGTAACAGAACCCCAGAGAGCAGAAGTTCTAACCTTTCCTCACAAAATGAAAATCAGATTAAAAACTGATATACACTTTACTTTATAAACTGTTTTTTCTTTCTTTCTAGATTAGTTATGGAGCTAGAGATACTTTACTAAGTGACCGGAAGATGTTTCCAAACCTTTTCCGGACAGTTCCAGATAATGAGATGCAATATGTGGCGACAGTGAAGTTACTGAAAAGGTTGAAGTGGAACTGGGTTGGCATCATTACATCTGATGATGAATATGGAGAGAGGGAGATCCAACAACTCAGCAAACAGTTAACTAATCATGGAATTTGTATTGAATTTAAGATCATGGTATCTGTGAAGAATTATAGGAAAATACCTCTAGATCTTCTGACATCAACTACTGAAGTTCTTATTATTTGTGGCTCAATTAGCAGAACTTATTACACGTTTTTGATGTGTAGCGTTCCTTATCACAGTGATAAAACATTTATCGTTCCTGATTCTTGGTCAATGGATGAAGATTTTTTTTTTATCAGTAACTGCAGTTTGGTGTTTTCAAGTCCTGATTCCTCTATAGCGAGAATGGAGGAATATTTCAATAGCATTACCCTCTCAAGCCGCCTAGATGACCCAATGCAGGAGGATATTCTCATAACTCAATACCGCTGCTTTTCAAAAAATCCAGAGAAGAACTTTATGATTCCATTCACATTTTCCTATCCTGTTCGTAACTGCACTTTGGAGAGTATTAATTATGATTTAAGTAATCCTGATGACAGAACTCCCTATAGAGTGTTTCTTGCAGTCAACACATTGGCTCAAACTTTACATGAAATGTATCTCTCTTTACAAATAAAAGAAAGGGGGACTAAGGTGAGGTTAATCAGCCTAGTGCATAAGGTGAGTATATGCAATTCTATATACACTGTCCCATTCAAAGCAAAGTGTCTGTACAAAGGGGCCTCCCAACACTGATAAACTTACCTTGGCAGCAATTCATTTGATATGGTTCCTCTTCTGTTATTTAAACACTAAACATAAAAATACCATAATGTACAGCTTCACCTCCCTATATAAAACACTGTTGCTAAAATGTCACGCTCTAATATATAATCCCTTCCTTTGTTTGGCATTATACATTAGGGATGCACCGATACCAATACTAGTAGTGGTATCGGTGCTGATACCGAGTATTTGGCGAGTACTCATACTTGCCCAAATGCTCCGATACTTACCTCTGATTCCAGAACTTCCAGTTAGAGAGAGATCTCATTCTGATCGGCAGTGCTGAGGGAGCATGGAGTCGGGTTCATTTCCAATCAGGTGGCCGTGAGGTGGGTTATGGCACACCTCATGGCTTCCTGGTTGGCTAGGAAGTCGGATTCACTTGTTGGTAGACAGCCCGGCTTTCTAACCAATCAGAAAGCTGGGCGGCATGTCTCGACTCTCGCCCCAGCTTCCTGATTGGTCAGGAAGCCACTTTGCCCAGCAACAAGTGAAGCGGGGTCTCTAGGCAATCAGGAAGCTGGGAGGCGGTCATGATTTACCTAGGAAGCTGGCTTCACTTGTTGCTAGGCAGCCCGGCTTCCTGACCAATCAGAAAGCTGGACGGGTCCTCATGACATGCCGCCCGGCCTCCTGATGAGTCAGGAAGCCAGGCAGCCCCAGGCAGCCCCAGCAAGTAAAGCCAGTGTTCTTTAGCTAGAACACCAGTTTCACAGGCAATCAGGAAGTGACGGGTCATGATTCATCGCCCGACTTCCTGGTAATCAGGGCACATGGCACCCATACTCGGTATTGGCCAGTACCGAAAAAAAAAATATTGATACTTGTACTCGATACCGAGAAACCGGTATGGGTGCATTCCTATTATACATATACACTATATTTGCAAAAGTAGTGGGACACTCCTCCAAATCATTGGATTCAGGTGTTCCGTGAAATTCCCTTGCTATGTGAATTCAAGCGTGGTACCGTGAGAGGTTGCCACCTGTGCAATAAGTCCATCTGTGAAATTTCCTTGCTACTAAATATTCTATAGTCAACTGTTAGTGGCACTATAACAAAGTGGAATCAATTGGGAAGAACAGCAACTCAGCTGCAAAGTGGTAGGCCACATAAAATGACAGAGCGGGGTCAACGCGTGCTAAAGTGCAAAGTGCGCAGAAGAAGTCGCCAACTGTCTGCAGAGTCAATAGCTACAGACCTCCAAACTTCATGAGGCCTTCAGATTGGCACAACAGCAGTGCATAGAGAGCTTCATGGAATGGGTTTCGATGGCTGAGCAGCTGCACCCAAGCCGCACATCACCAAGTGCAATGCAAAGCATCAGATGCAGTGGTGTAAAGCACGCCGCCACTTGACTCTAGAGAAGTGGAGACGTGTTCTCTGGAGTGGTGAACAGAAACAGGAACCATACCGCACTCCTTACGGGGATTCCCACTTGATGAAGAAGGGTGCTCGAAATAACTGCGGATGGCACCGCCACACATGAACAATAGAAAAATGTCACCAGCACACTATAAGTAAAATATTTTATTGCCAATAGCTGTATCTCATTGGCAAGCGCTTTCGGGGCCTCACAGGGTCCCCTTCAATAGGCTTAAAGATAACAGTGAAGTGAAAGACATACAACAATATATACCTAGACATACCAATCAACTCAACTCCCATCCACCTAGGGCGTCAGAGTTGAATTTCCGATTCGTCGTTTTTTTGGACGAACTTTCGTTTTTTGGACAAAATTTAATTGCTGCAAAGTGACATTTGAGAACAAAAATACTTTTTTTTCCCTTTTAATGTCACTTTGCTAACTTTTACGAACAAACAAAATGAAAACTAAACAAAATTCCGTACGGATTTCCGCTAACGAATTTTATCCGAATCCGAATTCCGAAATGAATTGACTTTCGGACCCGAATTCCGAAAAACGAAATAAAGCAAAATTCAAATCAAAATGAAATGAAACTAAACTATTTTTTTGCTGGTGCACATGTCTAATTTATTTAATGGTTGTGTTTTTTTTAAGGTATCCCGCTATGTATCTTCAGTTCACTACATGGATCCAAATAACAAGGAAATATATTTTAAAGAAAAGGGAGATCTGCCCAGCCCACTGGAAATTGTAAACTGGATAACACAAGTTGAAGACAAAAATACCACGCATTGGAGACATGTGGGCCACTTTGATGGATCTCTTCCAGAAAATCAGCAACTTACTCTCACACCACAACTGATATCATGGAAACGTGACCAGGTGACAGAAATTAAAGGGAAACATATGTAGGCGGTCATTGGCGGCTCTTGCTCCCTTATAAAATTGCAGGTCAATGGCTGTCATGTTCATCCAAGGATCTAATGCTTCCAGAATGATTGACATAAAAAATATGTAGATCTGGAATTCTGATATTCCTCTGACTTCACAACGGAGATCTTTTTTTGGGGTTAGTTATAAAGAAAGTGTTGACGTCAAAGACAAAAAAATAACTAGCAGTGGAAGCCTACATATTTCTCCTGCTACAGGTTTCCCTATTTCTAGAACCTATTACTTAACCACTTGAAGACCATGGGGTCTGTTCACGAAGCAGCCGAAGGATCTAGCCATAGCTTCGGCCCCAGGATCCCTTCTGTTCAGTAGAACTGAGGGGCTGCTGTACGGGCTATTCACTATAGCCCGTACAGCTCCCAAATTTGGCCGAGCGGCTCAGTCGAGCTGTATGCATTTGCCTCGGCTCAGCTGAGCCACACTGAAAGCCGAAGCTGTTACGGCTGTCCCCGGCCACTTGCAGAGAGATCAGCGCCCCTGGTTACCAGCTAACCAGGGACACTGATCTCCAGACAGCAAACTCTCCCAGGCACTCTGGGAGTCCCCCCTCCCGGCCGCCCAGGAGAGAAACACTGATTTTTCTTTTTTTTTCTTTATTCTGACACGGAGCCGTGTCAGAATAGAAAAAAAAATGTTTGACCATAGGAATGCATTGCTAGATTCCTATTGGCTATTTCAATTTGCAATAGCCAATTGCAAACTAGCATTGCACCCGCCCTCTGCTGCAGTTCTCCATCAAGTCCACCACTTGAGGGCGGGTGCAATGCTGGTTTGCTATTTATTCTGACGGCTCCGTGTCAGAATAAAGAAAAAAAAAGAAAAACCAGTTTTTCTCTCCTTGGCGGCCGGGAGCAGGAGACTCCCGGAGCGCCCGGGAGAGTTTTTTTTTTCTTTTTTTTTACGGCAGCAGAACCGCCAGCCAATAGAAAACAGTTGGGCGGAGCTAGCTGTCACTGCTAGCTTCGCACAATCGTTTTCTATTTATTTTTTTCTACTTTTTAAACAATTTTTCTGCTCTGTCCCACAGAGGGACCGAGTAGAACAGCCGAGCCGAATGCGCTCAGCGGCATTCGGCCATTCACTCACTGCTGTTCGGCATCTACAAGAATAGACCGAACAGCAGCGAGTAGCCTACCGGTGGCTGGATCGGCTGAGTCGAACTCCTTCTGCACTTCAGGTCGGCCAAACATGCTGAGCATGTTCAGCCGACCCGAAGCCACCCGATGTACGGCTGATTTCACCTGTACCAGCCTGAAGTGAATAGTCGAACAGCGTTCGGCTCACTTCGCTTTAGGTCGGTCATTCACTCGGCTGCCTACGGCAGCTGAGTGAATAGACCCCCAGGTGTTTACACCCTCTTCCGGGCCAGGCCATTTTTCAGCATTAAGCACTGGAGTACTTTGACTGACATTTATTGCGTGATGAAACGCTGCACTGAAATTATTTTCATACCATTGTTTTCAGGACAGATAGAGCTTTCTTTTGGGGGTATATAATCACCACCGGGGTTTTATTTTTGACTATGTTAAGGAACAATTACTGACAATTTTGAAAAAATGTTTTACATTATGTTATAATACAATTAACATTACCCAATTTTTGGTAAAATATAAACTATAGGGTTATGCCGGGTAAATAGACGTCAAGGTTTAAAAATTGCACACACCCGTGAAATCGCAAAAAACTACCATACCCAAAATTGACCATAGGCGAAGCTTTAAAAGCTTTTACCCCTCATCAGTTTAGGGTTATCAGTGATTAAGGGCCCTACAATTAGTGCTCTCACTGCAAAGTTTGCATATATAGGGGTCTATTCAATTAACTGCCGAAGGATCTAGCCGTACCTTCAGCTGATCCTTTGGCTAGCTTCGGCCCCAGGACCCCTTCGGTTCAGTAGAACCAAAGGGCTGCTGTAAGGGCTATTCACTATAGCCCGTACAGCTCCCGAAGATGGCCGAGCGGCTCAGACGAGGTAAAAGCCAAAGCTGGTCGAACAGCCGGCCATTGGCCAGCCGACAGCCTGCTAATGACAGTTGGGCGGAGCCAGCCATCACCTCACGGCTGGCTCCGGCCACTTGCAGAGACAGATCAGCGTCCCCTGGTTACAAGGTAACCAGGGAACGCTGATCTACCATTACTCTCCCGGACGCTCAGGGAGTCTCCCGCTATTAGATAGCGGCTACCGGCCGCCTGGGAGTGAAACACTTTTTTCCCAGAAAGGTTTATTCTGCTCGATCGAGCAGAGTAAACCTTTACTTGCGATCTGCAAAAAAAAGCCAGCATAGGAATGCATAGCTAGATTCCTATTGGATATTTCACTTTGCAATAGCCAATAGCAAACTAGCTATTGAACCCGCCCTCTGCTGCGGTCAATCACCAGAGGGGGATTTGTGAGGCTTCAGTTTTCCCTGTGACATATATATGCAATAAGCCAGGAAGTGAGGTCATTATTGGGTTTGAGATCATGTTCTATAATGAGCCAGGGTAGATAGGAAGAAGGGCAAAACCACTTAGGGAAAACCATACCTCCTAGGTGTTTATGTTTCCATAAGTCCTTTTTAATTTTAATAGGTTTTTGTCTAGTTTACTAAATGGTGTTTGTAAAGATTTATATTATTTTTGTATCTTAGGCCCCAAAAGGACGATGTTCTGCAGAATGTCTTCCAGGGTTTAGAAAAGCTCTAAGGGAAGGGTTTCACGTATGTTGTTATGACTGTGCTCCGTGTTCAGAGGGAGAAATATCAACACATTCCGGTAATTTTAATGTTTCTTTAAACCTTAAAGGGAATGTATTGTAGTTTAAAATGTTTAAAATAAATAAGAAGTTCTCTTTTTTCCTAGTATGACCAGTGATAATATTAAAGTTGGCAGGGCTAGTCACAAAAGGGTGAAGAGTTTGGTGAAGGCAGGAGAAGTGAACAGTCTAGGTCAAAGGAGCTGAACTGGAAAGTGAGTTGATTTGTATAATTTTTCCAAATCAGCTATCATGTCCTAGATTGTTCTCTTCTCCTGCCTTCTCCAAACTCTTCACTCTTTTGTGAATAGCTCTAAAAGTGTTGCAATAGATATGAATTGCTAATTTTATTCTGCAGCTTCCCCATATTATATTGACACCTATATAATGTTTATGGTACAAAGCATGGCGAATGTATTAACAAATTTAAAAAAATGCATTTAAATAGGTTTATTTTTTCTGCTCACATCACAATAATGGGAATATTTATAATGCAGTAAATGTGACATTTATCAAACACTCCTAGGTGGTTATTTATTCTCTGTGTTTTAAAACACATTATCTATAATAATAACTTGCAATGAATGTTTTGTGGATGTCAAAATTAATAAATATTCCATCACTGGCAAGTCTCAGCAGCCTAACATGTGGTCATGGGCTAAGCATAAATGGACTGAGGGACATTTCAGGTACATCCTAGATCACTAAACACTTGAAGCTGATGGCAAAACAAACCTGATCCTGAAGTGTTGCATGAGCTTTTCAGTTATGGGATTGGCTATTGCAGTGATCACATGATCTGGGACTTGTCCTACCAGCTTTCAATTTTACTCCATGACTGGGAGGAGTCAGTGACATCATGGTTACCATGCTGTAGGTGCATGATTGAACATGCTCCTGATACTGAACAGTGACACATATATGTGACAGCATGGCATATGTGTACAGTGCAAATGGATTAAGGAGACATTGGCATGTCATGTAGGCCAGTTCCTTTCAAGAGAAGAGGTAGTATATGCACATGTCTGGTGGCTAATGAATCATACCTCCCCTCTGTTCCAGCACTGCAGCCTCTATCAGTCTCCTAGGCATTGGACACTTTCAGGAATGTTGGATGCCTTTTTCGCAAACGGCATGCTGGTACCTCTCTCCAATGCCTATGTCACTGTTAGATCAAGTAGAACATAAGGGTTTGAGGATGAAACAGTAGTGTGTGGTGAGAGACTCATCCATGTGACATTCCTGAAAGTGTTCAACTTCAAAGGCTGAAGGAGGCTGCAGTGCTTGAATAGAGGGAAGTTAGGCATCATTGGTCACTGGAGAGGGGAGTATCCTTAATCTTCTCTTGTAGGGAACTGGTCTTTTTATTTGCAGAGATGTGACAATGTCTTAACTGGTCAATGTTATATAGTCTTCTATGTAGCCATTTTGCGCTGTAAAGCTTTCTCGCACAGGGCGCCTAAAGGCCTAAGGCTGGCCCTGAATGTATCCCTATGGTATTTCTGGCCTCTGTTTACACCAGCTCAGTCCGTTCTAGACCAGACCTGAAAAATACTGCATGTTTCATTTTGTCTGGTCTGGAATGCACTGGTACTGCAGGAAGGTTTACACCATTTACTGGTACAGATCTGATCCAGAAAATGGTGTGAATCTGCCCTAAATCAGAACATCTTAGAGTGATAAAATGATTCACATGTTAAAGAGGGAATAGAGCTCCCTGGAGAGAAGCCGCCCACAGGACGAGCTGTGACGGCCGCACGGCGCCCTTGTTGCCATGCCCGGATACATTAGGATGCCTTTTGGGTCCAGGAAACCATCTGGTCTGATCTGAAGATGATCTGGATGTGGTGTGAATGGGCCCAAAAGGTTGTTTGATGCAATCATCACAACAGTGATTCATCTCTGATCACATGACTTAGTCCAAGGTTTTATCCAAAGCAATTTTTATTTTATTTTTAGCCTCTTGTACAAACCCATGGTGTTTTTGGAAATCATTTGCAATGTATTCAATGTTTATTTAAAAACACAAATTCTATTTTAAAAAAAAAAAACGACCACCACAATAAAACTGACCCAAAACAACTATAACTTCCCTTTCAAATTCAATGTTTCATTAAAAAAATGTATGTTGTCATTGGGTTTAATCCAAATATATTTTGATATTATTGTAAAAGTTAATAGGATAATTAACATATTTCTAAATTATGGATATCGATTATTTCAGAAATAATTCAGGTTATGCCTATGACAGTCCAGCTAAAAGCTAGATGGTCCAGTTTCCGGTTGGATGAGGTGTGTCCTTCCTCTGTGACTCTATAAGTTGTCTGTGTGATCTGATCTACTTCATAATAGCATTTTTTATGTGACAGTGTAGAATGGATAGTCCAAGCTTTTAATGCTTCTCTGTCTGGCTGCACACACACACATGCAGGGCCAGAGGTTCGCAATTTGCAATAGCCAATAGTAAACTAGCATTGTACCCGCCCTCTGCTGCAGTTCCCCATCAGGTCCATCAGCAGAGGGCGGGCACAATGCTAGTTTATTATTGGCTATTGCAAATTGAAATAGCCAATAGTAATGTCCCAATGCTTTTCAATGGTAAAATTCTTTTTTTTTTCTATTCTGTCATCGCTCTAAACCTATATGGCTAAATAAAACTGTAAAACAACACATCAAGGACAATGACTCGTTCAATGACTTTCTCAAAAAGGTTGAATTAATATCACGGTTTAAATTTAAGTTTTCTGTGTTGTTTTACTACATCGCTAGCCAGAGGTTCGCATGTTTGAGATATACATGCCGAACCAATGAGGTTGATCACTGGCACTAATTCTGAAGGTTCCAGTGTTCATTTTTAATTTTCTTACTATGTTTGTGTGTTGAACCTTCTAGTCATATGTAAATAATCCACTTGCATCAATTTTTTCACACGGATTGTCGTAATTTTACACAGATTTGTTTAGTTGGTTCACATAGACCGAGCGCAACATATTTGCATTTCATCTGTGCCACTTTTTAGATCATTGCTTCGGCCACACCTGGAGTACGCGGTTCAGTTTTGGTCACCAGTACTAAGAAAAGATGTCCTTGAGCTGGAGAGAGTCCAGCGGAGGGCAACCAAACTTATTAGGGGAATGGAGGACCAGAGCTATGAGAAGAGGCTAATGAATTCAAACATGTTCACGTTGGAAGTAAGGAGATTAAGGGGGGACATGATTTTCATGTACAAGATGTTCAATGGTAGCAGCAACATCAGTGACAAACTCTTTAAGATAACCTCCATTACAAAGACTAGAGGCCACCACCTAAAATTAGTGGAAAAAAAGTTCCAGCACAAGGGGCGAAGGGGGTTCTTCACAGTAAGAGCGGTAAGGGTCTGGAACTCACTGCCACAGGCAGTGATTTCAGCTAAGAGTGTGGAATTGTTCAAGGAACTTTTGGACAATTTCCTAAGGGACCGTAATATACAGGGGTACGGGTACTACTAAGAATGAGATGATATAGGAACCTATATAGGTTGGACTTGATGGACTGATGTCTTTATTCAACCTCAAATACTATGTAACTATGTAATTTAGAGGTGCCACACTATGTACCAAGCTACAGTAAACACATCAATAATGCAGTGAACGAATTAATCAGTATAAACAATCAATATCTGTGTATATATTCCACTCTCCACTTCATTAAATGATATCAAAGTCCTTTGCAACAATGAAGTAACAGGATATCACCACTCTTGTGTTTACTGTATATTTGTGAACTTCTTCAATCCACCACTCCACACGTGACCCTTTCCCCAAACAGGCTGCTCACCTTTCCCTTAGATCTCTCTTTCAAAATCATCAGGCACTGTAACCTCCCTGGCGGTATGATTATTCAGGATTTTAGCATCCCAAAGCAGTACATTGTTTTTCATGGAAATTTGTTGTTTTATATTGTAAGCCCTAGAGCACTAGCAATGCTAAATTTCTAGTAGACACTCCGATGAAGGTGGCAGGGGCTACACACATACAGTATGTTTGTGTTTCGAGTTTTCATGCCCACTGACAATTGCAGTGATGAATCATAGAGGTATTGTCAAGATAACTGATGCATACCAACATTGGTAAACCAGGTCTAGGCTTCTAAGCTTCAACTAACTCTGTTTGGGTGTCAGCATTCATTGTACATTATGCACATTTCTCAATATATTTTTCTTCCACAGATAGTGAAATCTGCCAGATGTGTCCTGAAGATCAATGGCCTAATGAGGCTAAAAATATTTGTGTTGACAAACTTTATGAGTATTTGTCATATGAGAAGGACATAATGGTTGCATTTTTTTCTGCATCTTCAGTCATATTTTCTGCTGCATCTCTCTGTATACTTGGAATATTTTTTTGGTTTCGGAGCACTCCCATAGTCAGAGCCAATAACAGGAACCTCAGCTTCATTCTGCTCTTCTCTCTCATGCTGAGTTTCCTTTCTGTTTTCTTGTTCCTTGGACACCCGGTGGATGTAACTTGTATGCTGCAACAAGTCTTCTTTGGAATTGTCTTCACAATCTCCCTGTCTTCTATCCTAGCCAAAACCATCATGGTTTTTATTGCTTTTAAAGCCACCAGACCTGGAAGCTCCTGTAGGAAATGGGTGGGAGTCAAACTTCCTAATACAGTCCTGTTGTTCGGCTCATTAATTCAGGTTATGATTGGTGTTTTCTGGTTGTCCATCTCTCCACCATTTCAAGAGTATGACATGCACTCTTCTCCTGGGAAGATCATGATTCAGTGTAATGAAGGGTCAGTTATCGGGTTCTATTCTGTGTTGGGTTATATGGGGCTTCTGGCAGCTGTGAGTTTTGTTCTGGCTTTCATGGTGAGGACATTACCAGACAGTTTTAATGAGGCCAAGTACATCACCTTCAGCATGCTGGTCTTCTGCAGTGTCTGGATTGCCATGATCCCGGCTTATCTGAGTACCAGAGGAAAGTATACAGTGGCTGTGGAGATATTCGCTATACTGACCTCCAGTGCTGGAATATTAGCCTGTATATTTTTTCCAAAATTGTATATTCTACTTTTTAAACCTGAGCTGAACACAAGAAAATCCATGCTGGCAGGAAGAATGATATAAAATATTCTAATTTTAATACATTTACATAAAATAACACATGATTATAGTCTTGTATTGTTAGTAGTCTTGGTAACTGAACCTTTTTTGTCTATATATTAGCCTAGAAATTGAATTGATTGAATTTATTAAATGAAAAGTCACTTTAAAGCAAAGTGTACTTACCCTTTTACCTTTTGACCCTCAACATAGCCTAACCTCCTATCCCTTATATGCATACTTACATCAATCCAACGGCAGTGGATCCGCTTTTCATTTATAGTCAGCGGGGCTAGTCTTCATTGGTCCTGGCAATGCTAACATATTAGTGCCGCATAGCAATCCATAAACATTTTCTAGGGGCTGTTGCCTAAGGCCGCAGGCAGTCTTATAAAAGTCTATAGAGTTGTATTGTGCTGGTATGGCCAGGACATTGAAGATCTGCAGTTCAGGATGTACCAATACAGTGAATCCCCAGCCATTGTCTTAAGGTAACTATGCATTTTTAGAGGAGGAAAATGTATTAGGATAGGTCAGGGGGAAGGGGAACAATTATAAATTCAATTTGATTTAACCGCTTGCTGTACAGAGCAATTTCTTACTGTTTGCACACACATGATACAATCTGAATTTTTGGCTAGAAAACAGCTTAAACTCCCAACAATTATATATTTTCTGAAAGCAGAGGCCCTGTAGAATACAAAAATGCAGTTTCAATGTTTTACTTTGCACAGTAACCCAAAAATGGCCATATGGGATGCTTTACCACTCATCAATTAAGTGTTAACAGTGATTGATGTCCCTAAAATTATTGCCTTCACTAAAATGTTTGCAATGATATGTAACAAGTGCGGCGTAATAGGCGCAATCATTGTTTTTGCATGTAGGCGCACTTATAGCATTTTTGCGCATCTATGTGGGGACTTAAAAAAAAATGTGTGAGGTTTTTTCTTTTTTTTAAAGTATTCAACGTTTTATTAAACAGTCACAAACAAAAGTAACCATACAAATTCATATATACAATATAAACATTACATATTCCATGTACATAGCATCGATCATCAATGCATTAATAGATTCTCTTTTCTCATCCTTTCTCTCCTCCCCTTCTTATTTGACCTGCATCAATATACAACCTATTTTACAGCAACAGAATCCAGCACCGAAAATTGTATTTTAAAATCCCCCTAAAATAAATTACTCACATCCCAGTAAAAAAAAAAAAAAAGGAAAAACACCCCAGGTGAGTACCCATTATTGTACATGTCCAGTAGGCAATTTACTTACATTTTCTCCTCATAATTATGCCTGTGTGTGCTCTCTCCGGGAGCCACTAGAACCCTCCACATTTTATTTTCTCAAACATTGGTTACTTTTACCTTATTATTCCCTATTGATATTTTTAGTCTCAGGATTAATAATTATCTCTAGTAAGTAACCATGGAGACCAGGTTGCATAAAATCTATCATCTCTATCACAGAGTTGAGCTGTTAACTCCTCCATATACATCAACCGATCCAATTCCATCTTCCATTCGCCCACACTAGGAACCACATCCGTTTTCCATGACTGCCCTTGCAGCTATTAAGAAAAAAACTTAATAACAGATGCAAACAAGCCAGGGAACATAGACAATAGAGCCACCTGTGGAGTTCGGGGGGGGGGTTTTTTTTCTCAATTGAAAATACACTAACCAGCTTCCAGGCACTCTTTCATTGTCCCCAACCAAAGAGGAAAGTGGAAGGGTCTCAGTAGGAGAAAGAGTCTAAATAATAGGTGAGATTGCGCCTGGAGTCCATTGAAACACCTTTGAACAAGCAAGACCATGTGAAAAACGCGGTTTTCCCAAGATTGGAGTCAAGACAAGATATTCTCAGTTTTAACAAGAAAGTCCCATATCTTAAGAAAATAAATGAGATGAAATGGCAACATTACTGTTTGCTTGCGATCCAAGGGATCTATACAAGGATAAGATCGCAATGAGGCAGATACTATGGCTTCCTTTAAGGTAGTCCATTGTTTATTATTTGAACTATGAATATAATCCATAATCCTTGTTAGATGTGAAGCCATATAGTAATATTCCAGATGTGGGATGCCCATCCCCCTTTACATTTAGGGTGAGTAAGAATATCATAACTTATCCGTGCCGAGGAACCTTTCCATATATATTTAGTTACATGAGTCTTCATAGTGCGAAAAAAAAGACCTAGGTACTACAATCAGAACTGTCTGAAAAATATACAGTAATAGAGGGAGGATGTCCATTTGAAAAAGGGACACCCTACCAAACCAAGAATGGGATTTTAAAGTCCACTCCTTAAACTTGGAGTGCACTAATGAGAGTAAAGGTATATAATTAAGACCATATAATCTGTCTAAATTTCTCGGTAATGATATACCCAAATATTTCAATGAGTCCGTCTTCCAACTAAAAGGGAATTCCTCCTTTAAATGCATCACTTCTGTATCTAATAGAGTAATATTCAAGGCCTGTCTTGTAATCATTGACCTTAAAGTTACTATAGGGAAATGAATACACACAACTTTTGTAACAAAGCAGGAAATGCTTGTCGTGGATTTGATATATAAAACAATAAGTCATCTGCATAAAGACTCATTTTATTTTTCTCCCAACCAATACTAAGACCCCGGATCTATGAGTTATTTCTAACAGATGCTGCTAGATGTTCCATGGCCAATATATAAAGGTAGGGAGATAAAGGGCAGCCTTGTCTCGTGCCGTTATGAATACTTACAGGCTCAGACAAAATTCCACTCACTTTTAACCGGGCTGTTGGATTATCATATAAGGCCATGATTTTAGCCAAAGTATCTGGAGTTATACCTATGTAGACCAACACCTCTCTGAGGAATGGACTAAATAGCTATAGCAACCTAATTGATCAAAAAAAATATTTTTTGTGTGTAAATTGTATTTATTTTGTGACTATTTTTAAAAAAACTTTTTCTCACTCAACTTTATTATTATTACATAGGAGGATAACAATTCCCCTATGTGATATAACAGTACAGTGACAGGTCCTCTTTATGGAGACATCAGGGGTCTCTAAGACCCCTAATGTCACCTAGGGACCTCAAGAGAAACTGATGAGGCAGAGATCTGCTTCACCAGCTTCTCTCTGGCTTCTGTATCCAGAGAGTGACAGCTTAATGCAGGAAGTGATGTATTAAACATCACTTTCTGCATTCAGAGAACGGGGAGGAGAGCGGAGGGAAATTGTGTACTGATCTTCCTTCATTCTCTGTGCACAGAGCCACATGGAGCCACAATGTCGGTCCCAGATAGGATGCCTGGGATCGCGAGGACGGTGAAGAGAGGTAAGGAGAGATAACACCACCAGTTCAGCTTGGCCCTATTACTGGAAAACCTCATGCATATAATATGGCACATTACTAGTTTTGCTATTTCTTTGTGCTTAGAAACATTTACATTTTTTTTAGACACGTAATTAAGCATGCTTAAATGTTTCAAAATAAAAAAGTTCAGCTCTCTGTGTCATAAAAAAATAATTCCAACCCAGCATCCCGACATGAAACCCCCAGTCCAATTAACCAAAAGATATTACAGGGCATCTAGGTTTTTGCCATAAAACAGATTTGTGTTGGCTTATTTTAACATTGTGGTGATCCTTGTACAATAAAATGTGCAGATATGTAAGTCAAGGATCATCAATGTTGTCATCAGTTCTTTATGAATATCACCGATCACTGAACCCAGAAGTGATGTCACTTCTGGTGTCACTGTTTACATTCTCCAGCTCCTGTAGCCAGGAGAAGAAGCAGGTGAAGCAGATTGCTGCTTCATTAGCTTCTTTGGGGTCCTAGGTGAGATTAGGGGTCTGACAGACCGCTGATGTCTCCATTAAAAGGACCTGTCACATCATATTTGCTATTACATAGGTGGCTTGTTGGCCCCCTATGTGATAGCAATAAAGTTAGGTGTATAAACAAATAAAAAAAATTAAGTCACATATACATACATATAAAAAATGTAAAAAAAGGTTTTAAGTCCTCCGCCCTCTTGTGCATGCACATACAAGTGCAAACATGCGTTGTGTGCTCTTATGTGCAAAAACGAAAATTGCACCACACCTGTTACATATCGCTGTGAACATCGCAGTGAGAGCAATTATTCTAGGGCTATCAATCACTGTTGACACTAAACTTATGAGCAGTAAAAGCTTTTACTGGATATTGTAGTTTTTTACGGTTTCACAGGCGAACACAATTTTAACGCTTGACATGTTTGGTATCTATTTACACGAAGTGACCCCATCTTCTATATTTTAAAAAAAAATTGGGTATTATATTCTCTGTCCACTCAATTTCAGTGTAGTGTATTTTATCCTGAAAATACTAATTTGATAAACGTTTGTGCAATTACTGTGGAACATAAACTGCAACCAGCATTTTTTTTATTCTGCAGGGCCTCTGCTTTCAGAAAACATATAATTGTTTGGGGAATTTAAGCTGTTTTGTAGCCAAATATTTAAATGTTATTTAAATGTTACCATGTGTGTGCAAATATTAAGAAATTGCTCCGGTCAGCAAGTGCTTAAACCTGATACCTTTGGCTACTGACTTTGGCTTGATCACTGACAATGCTTCTGCCTGCTCCTAAACTGTTACACAATAAGAGACTCGGGGGTTGAACAGACTTCCAGCACCTAGAGATAGCCACTCTAGCTGCTAACAATGATTGGCACAAAATTCCATTCTTGGAGAGGGAACCTGCAATCATAGACAGGAGGGCCACCTTGGGAGACGGACATATACTGGAGATGGTCATTTTATGATAGCAGATGAGAACTGAGGAATATAACTTAGCAACTATAGGGCAACTCCACCATATATGCAGATAGGTCCCTACTTCCTTAGAACATCACCAACAGCAATTTTACATGGATGGATACATCATATGGAGATCCTGAGGTGTCCGGTATCAGAGAGAAACATTCTTGTCATTTTTTTGCCCTCATATAAGAAGACATGGATAATT